TTATTTTTAGTAGTTTTTTCCACTTTAATTTGATCCTGTAGTTTTTTTCTTCTAATTCTTGATCTAATACACAAATCCGTTGTAATTATTATTTTTTTCTCGGTTTCATTAACAATTTTTGGTTTCAAAGTCCAAAATCTCTTGAGAACTAAATTTCTATCTTTTACAGATTCCAGAATTACTTTTATTATTAGGTTATTCTTACTATTTTTAAGTTGAACTAGTCCTTCAATTTCTATATTTTTTAGACCTAATTCTTTGTTAATAAATTGTTTGATTTCTTGAACAACGTTCCATGTTTTAACCGGAAAATTAAAAATTATTATATTCTTATTTATAGTCTCATTTACCAATTTATCAAATTCGAATTCCAACATACCTTTTATCTTTTCGTTATTTTTATAATTTTCTTCTAATTTTTGTATCTTGTAACCAATTATCTTCATCTCTTCTTTATAACTATTATTTTCTTCTTTTATCTTATTAACTTCAGCTTTTATTGATTGAATTTCTAAGTTTAACTGGCAAAATTTTTCCTGAATTAATTCATATATAGATCATAATGTATATTGTGAATCGTCAATACCTTGTTTTTCGGTTTTTCTTGCCAGTTTAAAATAATCCTGAATTTTCGAATTTCTTGGGGTCCCATTATTTCTTTCGACCTTTTCTTCAATTTGGTGTTCCTCACTTAAAATTTCCAGTAACTGTGTTTCCCTTTCTTCATCCTTGTGACTTTCCTTCCTAGGTCTACCCCGTCCCCTTTTTTTGCATATCCAACTGACTTGACCGAAGTGGTGAGCGGGGGAGAGGACCAGGATTTATTTCAATTCCGGCAATTATTAATAGTATTTTAATCATTCCCAATGTTAAATTAATGTCAACAGCTCTAATTTGTACATACCACATTGCGTAATTTTTTGTTATTTCCATCCCAAACTTGTTCTACCAACCTCTCAAAAAAAGTTCACTCGCACGCTTGACAGCTCTGACACACCCCCATCAGAACATAAAAGGAATATAACCAAAGTTTCATTTGGATTGGACAAAAATTGCAGAAATTATAAGGAATGGACATGGATACAGAGAGAGATGACGGCTATTAATTTTTTATCATGCTCCACTATAGTAGTGAAGTGCTTATGTTAGGACTTTTGTGTGTCTGTCAGACTTTATATATTCGAGATTATGATTTGTTCAATCCATTCATTGTGCACGTGTATGCGCAAAAGGGAACTGAATATTTTTGTTTACAGTCACAGTAAGCTAGAGTAAAAACTACCTGGTTCCTCTGGAATCTATAAACTACACATCCCTTACTATATATTCAGTGAAAAATTCTTATGAACAACTACTTAATTCCAAGAATTTATAAAATTTATTTTAAACAAAATTAATATTTGATTCACTTTTGTGGAGTGTTTGATGGATATGACGATGAGGGTGCTGCTCGACAGGGAAAAGGGAAGACAATAGGTTGTTGGGGAGACCAGGATGTACTCTAGCCCTGCTTGTCTTATTGTTATCTGCATACAGTATTCCAAACCACAATAAAGTGTTTAAGTTCATGTGACCTTCGTGTGTTATTGCTCATATAGACACAACACAAATTTCTGCTTGAGCAGGATATGCTGATTTCATGAAGATCAAGAACATTCCCTATCCAGCTTGAACATTACCGCTCATATCATTGTTTCCACGAATGAGATTATCTGTACCCTTTGATTGGAATTTGTACAGATCCGATGCCAACAGGTACAACAATGTACTTGTTATCACTGCTATTTGCTCCATTTGCCATCCTGCTCATCACCATGTGTTTTCACTGTCATATCACCACATGCATTTGTCTGCCATATTGCCTCATCTCTGTTGTTTGCAGAACTGATTTTGCTATCCAACTGTCACTGTCTACTGAAATAGGTACTATGAAATATGGCTGAGACATCTCCATCCAACACGAATTCAAATTTCAACAAGGAATTGAACAAGCTCTGGCGCTGCAGCAGTACCATAAGAATGTCTGTAACAAATATGATCGGCAAGGTCAATGTCATTTCTGACTCAACACAGTCTGAAGAAATCAAACTGTCCCGCAACATGGTGAAGGAAAGGCTTGGGGAATTAAAGATACTAGATGAGGCCATTCGTGATAAACTCGAGGATGCTGAATATGAAACTGACGCCACTGCCTGTGAAGAAAGGGAAGAATCAGCCAAACTTGCTGTGTGATTAGAGTCCAAAGGATTCTTGATCACAGGAACACCACATCCTGCCTGACACTAGCAAGCCCACCAATCCAGACTCTCCCCCTTTCCCAGTCAATTGCAAACAGCCTCTTGCACAATGCTGCCCATCTTGGTTCTTGAGTTATTTGAAGGTGAAATTGTTAAATGGCAGCACTTCTGGGAACAATTCACAGCAGCCATTGATGAAGATTCAAATATACCAGACATTGAGAAGCACGTCTTCCTGCAGAGATATCTCCCAGGAGAGGCTAAGCACCTAGTAGATGGCATTACCATAACTGCAGGGCCATATGCTGAGACCAGGGCACTGCTACTGAAGAAATATGGAGATAAGAATCGTATAATAATGGCACATGTTCTCTACCTAGAGAGTCTGTATCCTTTGATCTGTCCTACAGATGCTGAATTGAATGTTCTCTTTGTTCAGTGCAATAATAGGATGTATGCCCTGAAAGCCCTGGGAGAGTCCATTAACCTGTCCTACATTGTTCCCAAAAATATTCGTGTTGACCTCATTGACCCTGAATATTTTTGTGTTTAAATCGGAACATTTTTGATACTAGATGTCGCTGTGTGTCACAATTTTTATATTAAAACAAACTTTTAAAATATAATTTTTTTTGTTTCTATATTATTCAATATATATATTTTGTGCAACATAAAAAAATAATTTATAACGATACAGTAAGCACGATTATTATTTAAAAAAATTTTTTTTAGGCTTGACATTGACGAAAATTCAACATGGCGTCACAGGCAACAAATAAAAATTTCAACATTGAACAGGTTAACCACTACAGATGCACCCTAACACTGAAAATCCTTGGGGCCTTCCCAGACTCCTTGCGTGAACGGTGGCTCATCCATGCTCTTCATAAGTCATTAGTGAGTCAGACCTAGAACAATTGCTGAAGTTTGTGGGAGACAAAATAGATTGTATCATTACTACTACTACTATCCATGGACCACAGGATTAGTTTCTCACAAGAGAACCCTGAGCTACGGCAGCCAGTCACTGGAAGTCTGGATAAGGAATAATAAGTCTACGGGAAGAAACACCAAAGGGAGAGGATCCTCCCATCCTCCGTGTGCCTTCTGTGACAGCCTTCGCCACTTTAGTTCTGACTGCACACTTATAACAGACCCAAGTGACCACTCAGGAAAACTGCGCAAGACTAATCATTATTTTCTGTGCCTAGGACAAAATCACACTACTTGCAACTGTCCCCAATGAGGAAAATTAACATGTTGACGATGTAGCCGCAATCATCATATCTCAATATGTGAGGCAAACCCAACTCAAACTCATATGATGGTCGCAGCTAACAGACCCATACAACATATAACCTGTGAGATAAGCAGGGGGGGTCAGGAGTTAATCTAGCAGGATCTGCCATGCTGTTGAAAGGACTATCTCCTCTTTAAAATTGATGCATGTTGTGTTGCGTCCTGCTCTAAATATCTCCATGGCCTCCAACCATTTGAGATGTTCGGGGTGTGTGGTAGTGAGGATAATATGCGATGCGTCAAAGTCTGCCATGATGTCCTGATCGGTCACATATGTTGAGAGAGCCATTGTAGTTCTGTTGTGTTGTATGTCAGTCTTATGTTCTTTAATCCTATTACCTAATGAACGTCTGGTTGAGCCAATGTAAACCATTTCTCTGTCGAACCTGTGGTCTCTGAGCGGGATGGAATAAATTCCAGGTAATTTGACCGAGTTCAGTGGGACTTGTGGAGTTTTCATTATAGAATTAAACTCCGACATGGTATCTAAGCATTCCATATTGAGGCCATGAGAAAATGCAATAGATGAACAATGTTTCCCTGATCAAATAACTAAACATTTACCAGAATAGCCAAAAGCCGATCTTCAAAATTGCTGTGCTTTAATGTTTATTTCAGCATAAACAGATAGTATTAATTTATGCTGATTTGCAATAATCCAATTTCAATCATGAAGCATTACCCTGTATTCCATATGTATTAATAACAGCACTTGCTTGTTTGCAGCCAAAAGGCCAATTATCTAGCTTTATCATCTTGGCTTAAAAATGTTACTTCCTTGGGACCTAACATGGAGGGAGGTTAATATTTCTAGTTTTCAAACAGCTGCCATTGCAAACTTCATATCAGCATGTTCTTTTCATTAATCAGGGGTGCTTTTGCTAGCTTGACTGGTACAGTGTTTACATGTCATTTTCTTTCATTTGATAAATTTCCTTTTGGAAGTAATCTAATATAGACACCACTATGACTAATTTGAAAACCTTGTTGTTTTAGCTCTTCTGTGAGTTTGGTACAGTCTTTATAGACCTGTATGTGTCTTCAAACCTTGTCATGAGCAGATGAACCATGTAGTATAGCTATGTCTACTATAGTTTTTAGTAGTTTTGGCTGATCTTGTTCCACCCTTGGCCAACCCAGCTTTTCATGAACATTCAGGTTTGACTTTTGCTTCAGGAAACTTTTCAAACAGCTTTTCCATAGCCTTCTTAACTTTACAACTTTTCTGCTGACATTTCATGTCTGATTCTTTTATTAAGTTCTTTTTCTGTTTTTTTTTCTAATTTACTTTTTTTTTTGTTTTTAGTTCATTTACTTTGCTCATCTGTTAAAAATCCAGTCTTTTCTATAATCCAATGATTTCTACGTTCACAATCTATATCTCATCAGATTTTTTTATGTGCAGCAGCATTATTCAAATGCCATTCTGAACCTAAAGCATCACTTGTAAAATTCTTATTTTGCTTTTTTTGTACAGTATTTACTCTCTGAACTGGATAATGAACAAGTTATCACTTTTACAGACACTGTTTATGTTGAAACCTGCAATTAATATTTAATACAAAATTCTTAGTACTATACTGTGAAACCGAGGATATTGGTTGAGATTTGAGTCACAGCATTTGTCACAAAACGTTATTTTGAGCATGTGCCTAATGAAAAAAAATGCTATTAGCTGTAACTATTTAGGTTTTAATTTAAAAAAAAAAAAGTATTACTGCTTACCTCTTTTGCATCAGGTTTTTTAACCCTGCCTAAAACTGAAGTTTCACTTTCTTTTTCATTTCCTTTTCTTTCCATTTCGTGAGATACTCTTTTGCCTGATCCTCATAGTTTGGCTGTTTTTTAATCTCATTCCAAATTTCCAATACATACTTTTGCTGTTCCCATCCACTCTTTTGCTTTTTTTATATGAATTGAAGAAGTCTTTAAACAGTTTGTTTTTATCTGTTTCTTTTTAAAAGATTGTATATTACTAAGTAGAAATCTACTATTTGTACTAGGTATTAGCTTTAAAATGTTACCAAGGAAAGAATAACTTATTGTGCCTCATTTGTTTTGAATTAGTGATCATTGTAGGAGTATCATCCTGCCCCCTAAACCCATTTCCATTTTCACAACCACAATGACAATACCTTGATTGCCTCATTGACCATGAAGTGCTTGAAATATAAGATGAAGTTTTACGTGATCATCAGCACTAATATTTATCTTTTTATTTATTTGGGACCTATTTCATATCATTTTCAAACATGGCAATAGGATTTTGCCATGTTTTATTTATTTTTTATACTCTTTTCAAACTGCATTTACTTAAAAATAACCACTTTTTACTAACCTTTAACATGCAGTCTTTTTTATTAACGTAATCTAACGTTTTTGATCAATTAATGTAATCGAAAACATTAGATTACGTTAATAAAAAAGACTGCATGTTAAAGATTAGTAAAAAGTGGGTAATTTTTACATTTATCAAAAACTTTTTGACATATAGCAAAGTTATAAAAGTCCTTTATTGTATGGGGCTAAAAAAAGTCTATTTTTCATATACTTGTACAGTAGTTGTTAAGCTATTTTATTAATACAGTAGAACCTCGATTATCCGGACTAATTGGGGATGAAGGTAGTCCGGATAAGGAAAAATCCGGATAATCGAAACAAATACTTTAATTTGTCTTTTAATAATAATACAACACGTTTTCTTTTCGATGACATATCGGTAATATTAAAAGTAAATACTGNATTTATTTATTTATAATTATTAATATTAATAAGAGATGGCGCCTAACGCCTACCTCTAGGCCAAATTGGTTACGTAATTCATTTAGTAATTAGCCTAATACTAGCCCGATAGATTTTCAGCATATCGTTGGTGTTTAGATATACTAATATACTATACTAATGTATTTTTTTCATTATTTTCGGTTATTCAACCAACCCGAGTCCCCAATTGAGTCGGATAATCAATGCTCTACTGTATATGTAAAGAATGTAAAATTAAAAGAAATGTGTTAAAATAGTAAGAGCTTTTTTGTTGCTTGTAATACAAACTTTTTGGTGGGGGGGTTGATATGAGGTTTAGAAAATTTGTAGGGGGTCAACGTCAACAATCAAAAAAGTTTGGTGACCCCCTGGGGTAGATGGTTAGTGTAGCCCACACTGACTAACTATTACTATTACTGACATCAATAAGTCATTATTTGTTTTATTGTCTTGTAAACAAAAGCTCTTTTCCTGATTTTAAGTTGATCAAATTACAATGTGATTTTATTGTACTGGGAAGAATGTTTTCTTTAATGTTTAATTGACAACTAGTTTTGGTAGATCTGATTACTTTTATATTTTAGTCATACTTTAACTGGCATGCGGGTAATCCCTGGGTTTCTGACATGTTGGTCATTCTGTGAAAATACAATATGATGATTACTTTAATGTGTAAAAATTCTAAATTGAAATTAATTTTTTTCCCTACTTACAGTATACTTTTTCCAAATATATTGAGACAAAGGACTGCAATTTCTTCCAGCAGTTAATACTTGTTTGTTATTTTCATTGTAATCCTTCGAGAACTTTTTAATTGAGAATTGTTGATTGTTATTGGCTTCATTTAATTGGCTAAAAGTTCATTGTAGATAAGTCTTTAAACTTGCTATTTGCTGCATAAGTGATGTCATATTTGAGAAATGATACTATCTCAACAGGAATGCATGCTTGAAATTAATCTGGATTCGAAGGATGACCAGAGCATTATCCAATAATAATATTTTTGCTCTAAATTATTTTACATAGTAGCATTTTACTACAGGACAAATAATTAGCATTCTAGTCACAAAAAATAAATAAGTGGTACTGTACAGTATTTTTGAAATGACTTGCACCAATAAAAACCATCAACCACAAAATAGTCAGTTACGTATATTTTCCTATTGATTTTCAATAATTTTGATAAACTACTGTATATTTTAAATTTATTATTTTTTTAGGATGATTTTTAGAATGATAAACAGAGATTTGTTTCCTACTGCTGCTAATTTCCTACTTAAAATAGGAGAATCAAATAACTTTAGCTATTTTAAGACCTGAAACTTTTTGTCTTATGATATATAAATTTTAAAAAAAGAACTAATTTGTTTTTGGTGGTCTGAATTGAAAGGTTTATTTTTGTTTTGTTATGAATTAAATTATATAGAAGATTCTACCTTCATTTGAATGTCTTCATTTGCCCTTTACATTGTAATGCAAATGTTATGAATTTGCCTTGTGTTTTGTTTTTTTAAATCATTCATTGGCCCCTTATATTGCACATAACTTATAGGGAGGCAAACCAATAAGCAATATCAGATGGTGTGATATAATCAACATATCTATCCATTATTGGTTAATGCACTTTTATATTTGGAAGACAAAAAATTAATATCATAGGCTATATCTAAATGAATGATATAATGAGGGACCTACTATATTACTTTTAAAGTTGATTATGCTAATCTATATCAATATATATGTATAGACACACTAGAAATTCCCCCATCAAGCGTGATGGAATACTTTTCATTGGTTGTTCTTATTCTTTTAGATCTAGAGTTTACCTGACCAATTTTACTCTTACACTTCTTACATTTGCTATTTTGTCAAAAAAAAAAAAAAAGTCTTTTTAATTCCATATTAGTAAAACAAAGCTGAATTGTATATATGTTAGTTAAGTGAATGATAACACTTTATATATAATGGGCTCATTAGATCGTTACTTCAGATTAGATATTAATCATGATGTGGTCACTATGAAAAGATGTTTTTAAAAATTTGTTATAAAAATGACATGATGCAGTTATTTTTTTAAAAGTTTAAATTTTAAATCTAATGAAGTTGTTTAAAATATGCCATTTACCAAGATATTTAAAAATGCAACTTAAGGGACATTTCATCATAAAGCATGAACTTGAATGAGGTCACTGAAGTCACTGCAACATAGGTGCAATTGTCGATTCAAAATTTATAAACTGTTTGTTCTATAGCTAGTATTTCTACAAAATAAGTAGCCTATAGTTTCCATCAGAACATAGAATAGAATAGAATGTTTATTAACGTAATAGGCAATAGCCGTTACAAGGGGGATGTTTATACAATTATTAGAACTTTACATAAATTAACTTTTCAATGAGCATTCGCCTTTTGTCTGTTACAATCAGGGTGGTTGGATTTCACAATTTCTTGATTATCTACACAGATTTATTTCTACATCTAATTATATTTTAACTTATACATCACATTCAATAATAATAATTATCATCTGCACATCGGATTTAACTAAATATCACGTATCTCAGAAAAAACCTTTAACCGATGCGAATTAAAAATTTAACAGTACAAACATTTTCAGACCCCTCCTGGGTCCATCTTCAGGCAAAAATCGTTTGAAAATTTACGAAGAATGAAAAATATTTATTTAGAACAATTTTTAAAACCGAAAAGATAGAGCGGAATCACGTGATCTATATATCTGAACGTCCTATCTTCTACTTCATATTGATAGATATTTAAATATTTTCCATTGTTTTTAAAGATTTTATGAATAACTTTGTTGTTAAGCCCACAAAACATATCACATAATCTCAGATAACCCATTTACTTCCTTTCTTTTAGGATTACGACGCACTTAAACCTCCTGTTGTAATAGGGCCTGCCATGCCAAAGAAAGAGAGATCTCATCTCTGGAATTGATCGGTGATGTAGTGTTGTATGCCCTGTATAATTCTATTTGCTCCAACCATTTGAGATGGTCGAGATATGAGGTGGTGGTGATTAATTTAGCATTTGAAAAGTCCGCAGTTATTTCTGGATCAGACGCGTAAGTTGATAAGGAAGTGGTACATTTATTTTGCTGGATGTCACGCATATGTTCTTTCAATCTGATCCCAACAGCTCGTTTTGTTGAGCCTATGTAAATTAAGTCCTTCCCAAAACGATGGTCCCTAAGTGGCACTTTATATACCCCCGGCATTCTTTCTTCCTTAGATTTGTCTTTTCCATTACGTAGAATACCAAATATGGTTGGGCATCTTCTGAAGGTTAGGGAGATACCCTT